CTTGAGATATCAAAGAGATTGTCCAATGATTTCCGCATTCCATTGGGTCACCTCTCTTTGGAATGGGCACAAATATGGATCTCTTCCAGTCAGTCAGTCAGGTAGTTGCCTTCCAAATAATCCACTAGAGACACTATACAGGTTTGAAACTAACTTGATAGCACTTAACAAATACAACAACAAAATATATTTACTCAAATTGATTTCCAAAATTTGATATATTTCTTAAAATAAACATAACATGAGTATACTATGAAAAAAGTTAGTAAAAATAATTTCTTTGCTTAAAAATAGCATATACAAAATATTTGTTCTTGTCATGTACTTTTATTAGTTTCTTAGCTGTATTTCCTCTAATATTGTATTTATTATATTTTAGAGCAATATGTTTTGTCAATATTATCTTAATTTTAATGTCCATGATTGTACATTATGATTAATAAATTTGAAATTACTGACAAATTGAACTGACTCTTCTATGAAGCTCGTACTATATTTAAATGGAATAAATGCTCTATCACAATTGCTGAGGAATATGCTAATTCTGAGTACTTTTTTTACTAAGTAGAGAATATTCATTAGTTTATATATATATGATTGAAAAGTCAAAAGCATTTCAGGTCAAAAAGTTTATATAAGTATTGCTGTCTAGCCTCATTAATAATGTTCTTTGTTGACATTTTGTTTCATGATATCCAGTCCACTACATGTATTTCTTTTTTGTGTTATCCTTCTGACAATTTATTTAAACCACAAAGATTAATATTACATACTTGACATTTGCTTTCAACATTACCTTAAAAATATTTTATATTTAGTTTTTCTTATACAGTATATAAGTAAAATTTGACAACCATAGTTTCTTCATTGAAATTTGATTGAGTATAATTAAAAATCTGAATTTGTGTAACATGCGAAAGCTGGACAGTAAATAAGGAAATCTGTAGAAGAATTGATGTTTTTGAGTTTTGGTGTTGGAAGAGAATATTGAAAGTGCCATGGGCTGCCAAAAGAACCAATAGATCCGTTTTGGAAGAAGTACAGCCAGAATGCTCCTTGGAGGCCAAGATGGCCAAACTTCATCTCTCATACTTTGGACATATTGTAAGGAGGGACCAGTCACTGGAGAAGGATATCATGTTTGGTAAAGTGGAGGGCCAGAAAAAAAGAGGAAGACCCCCAACAAGATGGATTGGCCAAGTGGCAGCGTCAATGGACTCAAGCGTGACAAGAGTAGTGAGGTCAGCCCAGGATTGGGTAGTGTTTTGTTCTGCTGTGCATAAGGTTGCTATGAGTCAGTACCAAGTTGATGACACCTAAAAACACAACCAATTTTAAGTATTTTTTTTTCATAATTTTTTTTAAATAGTGGAATTGTTTTTACCCTGAACTTTTGCTCTGCAAAAATCAATGTTCATATTTTTATCAAAGCAATAATTAAATGTATCTTCCACATTGAGCTTTTAAATGTATTTAATATTATAATCACTTCTAGATATGTCACCATCAATAAAATGGAATTTAAAAACTCTGGTTTGTTAGTGGATTTTTTTATTATATTGTTTTAATTTTTGTCCATATTTTCCATATTTATTCTATTATAAATGAAGCTTCCATGGATATCCATGTACATATATTTGTATGGACCTACATTTTAATTTTTCTGGAAAAATATCCAGGAGTAAAATTATTTGGTATATGATAAGTATAAGGTTCATTTAGTTTTGCCTTCTTTGTTGTTGTTGTTCTTTTAAAAAATATGATATACAAATATCCCTCATTAACATAGATATAAAAAAACTCAACAAAATCCTAACCAACAGAATTCAACAACACATCAAAAAAATAATACACGATGACCAAGTGGGATTCATATCAGGAAAGCAATGTAATACATCATATAAATTTTTTTAAAAAGGAGGGTCCTGAGGCCCCCTTTGGACCCGCTAGTTCACAGGTACTGGGCTTTTCTCCTGAGGGAGTCACAACGATGATGTGGAATAGTGGATGTGAAAGCTATAACAGCTCCTCCTACGGTGGCACCAGTGGCTACACACAGTCCCTGGGAGTGGGGGGGGCGGTTTGGATCGCCCGCACCAACTCAAGAAGGAAAGACATCAAGAGCACATTGTACCCTGTACCATATCCCAGCTGCTTTCTGCTACTCTGGTTGATGAAGTGTTGAAAATTGGCAATGTTGAGATTTCACAGGTTACTATTGTGGGGATTATCAGACATGCAGAAAAGGCACCAACCAACATTGTTTACAAAATAGACGACATGACAGCTGCACCCATGGATGTTCGCCAGTGGGTTGATACAGATGCTGCAAGTGGTGAAAATGCTGTGGTTCCTCCAGAAACATACGTGAAAGTGGCTGGCCACCTGAGGTCATTTCAGAACAAAGAAAGTCTAGTAGCCTTTAAAATCATGCCCCTGGAAGATATGAATGAGTTCACGGCACATATTTTGGAAGTGGTCAATGCGCACATGATGCTCAGCAAATTAAACAGCTAGCCCCCAGCAAGGAGAGCATCTCTCAGCAATCCAAGAATGAGTGAAGCAGGAAACTTTGGTACAAATAGCTTTAATCCAACAAATGGCTTTAGTGTGGCCCAAAACCAGGTGCTGAATTTGATTAAAGCTTGCCCAAGACCTGAAGGATGGAACTTTAATGATCTCAAGGCTCAACTCAACTACATGAGTGTATCCTCAATCAAGCTAGCTGTGGATTTTCTCAGCTATAAGGGACACATCTATTCCACTGTGGATGATGAGCATTTTAAATCCACAGATGCAGAATAACTGGATCTCATTGGGCCCTAAGATATTTTCTAGCTGATCTA